AAGACAAGAATTCTGTCCATCCAGGGTTTGGGGTGAAGCGGGTGCAAGGAGACAACGGGTTTACTCACATCACCTGAGCTGCTCCTGGGCTCTCGCCCTTTCCCCGCAGATAAAACCACCCCGTGGTGTGATTTATACCAAGAGCACAGAGAGGATATCGCCATCCTCCTCACCTCTTGCTAGAAGATAGAGGTCATTACCAGAATGGATCTTTTCTAAAGGATAAATGATCATGTGTGTTGTGAAATGCTTCATTCCCAAACACGAGAAAGGTCTGTGAAAAGCTGCTCTCTGGCTTGCCCTGCTCCGTTTTTGTAGCTGCAGATTAAATCTTTTGTTGCTATTTATTTCCTCAAGGTGCAAGAATCATGCTGCAAGGAGCTAACAGTAGAGAGCTCAAGGAAATATATGTTTAGGTCCCAGTTGTTTCTTTAACACCCTGTAAAGAAACACCTTCAAAGGATAAATAAGGAAGATGGGCTTTGCTGGGAAGCCTTGGGGGGTAGGATGTCGCCTCCCCTTCCCTGCAGCTGCACCGTCAGTCAGATGCATTTTCTAGCTGAGGAGAAATTACTTCTATCAGCAAAGGTCACAGAGCTGTAAAAGCCCTTTTTCAAAGAGAAACTGAGACCTGCAAACACACGGTGAGCTGCCCAGGTCACCCAGCAGGGCAGAGCAGAGAAGCCAGCCCTCCCGAGAGCCGATGTAGCACGATGACGGACAGGAACATCGCTTGGCATGGGTACCGAAGGAAGATCCAAATCCAGCAAGCTTGCACCTTGCTTCTCAGCACCGCTGCTATTTTTTTAGCTGAGCTGTGTTCAACCCAGGGTGACCAGACACCTCAAGGTCAGTCCCCGGGTTACAGCTGCCAGAAAGGATCCGCAGTCGATGGGCGTCACAAAGGAACCTCTGTGCATGCAGCTCCTCGGGGATCTTCAAGGAGGGTATCTGGGGGGCTCAGAAATCAAAAGTCTGCAAGTCACCGGTAAACAGCAGACAAACAAGTCACAAGAGTTTAACAGGAACGTGGGCTTCTACCTGGAGCTACAAATCTATTTCCTCGCTCTGCCAGGGAACTCAGCACTAGCAAAATGTTGATGAGAGCTGGAGGGAAGAGAGAAGGAGAATTTACAATCCATGTTTCAGCAGCTGCCAGCACACTCCTTCATATGAACTTTTGAGAACATTTCTTTGAAACTCTCTATTCTATAAAGAGGGCTCAAGAAATTTGCTCGCAGAAAGGCGGCGCTGCTGTGAGAAGACAGATGCTGTTCCTCCTTTCCAGCAATGCTTTCACCTAATACCAAAATATTTGGCACAAAGCACCCGATTAAAGAAATGCCATCGCTGATGGCAGATGGTACTTCTCATCCCGATCTGCAGCAGCCTGCTAACGTTCGCTGTAATCTGATTGCAAACACGGCGCGTGCATTTTTCCCAGATGAGCAAGTTTTACATCATTTTTCATTGCCCTTCTTGGAGTTTGTTAACAAACATCATCGTTCTGAGCAAACAGCCTGATTGCAGTGTTATCAAATGAATCCCTTCTGCTCGCCCCACCCTTCCAACCTTCCAGCACCTGCAAATATCAGCAAAACAGCCCTCCTCCCTCCCATCCTACCACCTGCTAACACCACCTAGTTTCAAGCTGCTCATACTATCAGGAGCCAGGAAGGAGCCTTGAAAGAACCTGGTTTAAGGCTGTGGAATGAGAGCAAGACTTTTCCTATGTTGAGAGGCTTGGGAAATGCTGCAGGCAGCAGGTTGCTCCCCTTTCCTTGAGAACAAAACGGATTCAATCCCATATTGATTTGCTAAGTACACTTTCCCCAGTGGGAACTCACCGTAGATCCTCCTATAAGTTTACTCAAGTGTAACTCTACGCAGCACGAGCTATGGAAACAGGATTTTCTTCAAGGAAGTTGCACGTCTCCAAGAGTCGCCGAACAAAGCCGTGCATTTGCCAAAGAGCGACTGCTGGAGTTTTATGAAAGAGAGTTTGTTTAACAGAAAACAAGTGAATACGTGTCCGCCTGCCTTTCTCTTCCTCTTGGCTGGCGGAGGGACAGAATTCAGCGGAGGCCAGAGGACTGCTGCGCTCACTGCAGCCACAGACTCACTCCCAGCGCAGCCACTGCAGAACCAGCCAGGATTCCTACGGCCGTACCAAGGGGATTTGTAAAAACTGCTCTATTAAAACTACTTTTTTTTCTACTAATGCTCAGAGCCCAGTAAAAATTATAAGACAACGTCACAGATTTGCTTTTGAACAATGCTCACGTTTGCCACCAGATCTGACCAGGCACCGTGGGGATGCTCTGAACTCTCTGTTTCAGAGAAGCAAGATAGGCTGGCTGCCTGGCACTTGGTGAAAACGCAGTGCCTAGCTTTTAACAAGCTTCCAAGAGCAAAACTAAGTATGTTTTTCCTATTCTCTCAAGCACTGAAGACACCCATGGGCAACTCGTCCAAGCTGCCCAGTACCTGGAGCTAGAATTTAACAAGTGAGTTATCTTGATTTCAGCAGCCATCCGTGTACGTGCTCCAGCCATCTCCGGTCACCTGCAGACACTGTGAAACACTCTTCCTTCAGTGAGTAAGTGACACAGCACCTGCAGTGAGGAGGCAGCGGAAGGTATGATCATCATCAAGGAACAGCAACGGGAGAGATGGGTCTCGGTCACAAATTCTGCATTTCTCACAACGGGCACCAGCCACATTCCCAACCCCACGATGCACAAAAAAAGTCGACGTAAGGTACTCACTGCACCATAGCTACAGCGAAGGGTTTGGAATTCCCATCGACTGTGGACTTTCACTACTGAGCTCCTGCTGATTTATGAAACCTCCACAGCAACTGGGCAGTAGAAATCAAGACAACAGAATAAACTTCATCTTTTTTATTCTGCAAAGCAATGTGCACATCTTACAAACACAAAATTAATCTAGGAGAGAAATGTCATTTCCAAATCAGCTATTAACCATCATGCAACAAGACAAGTGAAATGTAAGAACAACAACAAAAAAAACCAAACCCAAAACAAGCCATCTTAACCCTACAATCACCTGCAGAGGGTTGAACACCAAGGCTCAGATTTTCTATGTAATGCCAAAGAAGAACGCAAAAGAAAATGGCAGCTTTCTAAGAACAAGAAAACACGTACAAATAGAATCAAAACTGATTCAAGTCATAGTTAAAAAGAAAAAGAAAACAAAAAAAGGAAAGATCAATATGATCTGAACTTTAAGTTTTTTACTCTTCTGTTTGGCTGCATTTAACTTTTGTACATCGCGCCTGGGAACGATCCGATACTCCTCAGTATTGCAGCATTGCAACCCGACGGACACCCTCACCTCCCCGCTGCAATACAGGGGTGCAAAGGGATGAACTAAGGCCCTTCTGCGTTTGTGGGTTGCAATCTTACTATTTCTGGGTACTCCAATACAGTGGGGTGATGAGTTGCAAAGCAGGTTCCTCTAATTACCAAATAGCAAAACCAGATTTAAAAAAAAAAAAAAAAAAATCTGTTTTCCCCAACAGACCACATTTCAGTTTAGACATGTGGAGTTTGATTTTGAATTTGCTGAAACAGAAAGGACCCAGCTTTGCGTTTTTTTAAAGGAGTCGCGTTATGTTGGGTATTTTCTAGGAATTTCCAGAATTTGCAACACCACGTTGTTTCCTGGCCTTTGGTCCCTGGTTCAAGCCACCCTCGTAGGCAACTCTAGAATCAGCGTTAATGCAGAAGGCTGGGTATGTGTGAGTGAGGAACAGCTTGGACAGCTTTCAGGAGAAGCCATCTACCTGTTTGGACTTCACTGATTCATTTCAGAGAAGCACTATTAGCCCATAGCAGCATCAGGAGAAAACTGGAAGCTTCATTTTATCCCTAGACTTCAAACGAGGCCACCTCTAAAGCTTTGCCTTAACATCCCCGGAGAAAAACGCGTTAGTTAACACCACTTAAGTAACTGAAATCCTATAAAGGTGTTCTGAATGCAATTCTACACGGTGTTCTGGAGAAAAGTGTCACTATTTTGCTTCAAACATGCTGAAGACTCGTGAACCTACCCAAGTCCCATACGTACAGACCAGCAGGGTACCAGTCAATAGTGTCTACGGGTAATAAACTAAGAATCTTATGCCAGCATAAGTGAGACTAAGAGATTTTGACTGAGGTTTCTTCTTTTTTTAGAGCGAAACTTAGCAAAGGAGGAGGCAAAAAAAAAAAAAAAAAAGCTTAAAGTGTATGTGTGCAGACCTCCAGTTACACTACCTGACAAGAAAGCTGAAAGACAAGATGAAAAGTCAATTAAGGCAACGAGTGAGATTTTAAAAGCAGTGGTGGAAATGTCTGCAGGAGAACCCTGACTCCTGGGAATCGAGGAGGCTACTCAGTGAGAAGTTAGAAAGGACCAGCAAAAGTCAGGATGGGAAAGGGAGAAACGCAGAGAATAAAACCTCTGATTTAAGAACGGACACAGAGAACAGGATGTTTTACCGGCTGGTTTCTTTGACCTTCATCACAACAGCCCCAGTTCTCTCCTTGTCCGTTTCCCCCGAGCGGCCAGCATGAACTGGAAATCGGACAAAGCTCATGGCTGTGTCGTTTTCAGCTGCCCTTCAGAGAGGGACGGAGAGTCCCAAAGTGAAGCTCTGGAACAGACGATGGGATTTCTTTTCCTTTCATTATTTGCACTTGCCCAAGGCTATGCAGGTCCCCAACAATACATCCTTTGATTAAGTTTCACTTTCTAGAAAAAAAACTCTACAGAAAGCTGCTGTGCAGCAGAGATGCACAATCCCGGTCTGAGGGCTGCGGATGGGAGGCCAAGTGGAAAGCTTTCCAGATAGTCTCTATGCTGACTGATTCTCTGGCATTCAGCAAGCCAAATGAAAAAAAAAAAAAAAATCCAACTTATCACTTTTCAATAAGAGACATTTTAAAATGGGACTTCACTTCTTAATTTTTTTACTATGAATAAAAGCACAAGTTTGTCCTAAATACAGCACTATTAAAATGTGAATATGTATTTCTTTTTTTCAAAAAAAAAAATCTAAAATGTTGATATCTTTTCTTGCAAGCAAGGAGCAAATGGAAGAAAGTATGAGGCCACACAAATACACATTTAATTCATGTAGTAGATTGGTGGCTTTGGAAATGCAATATTATATCAAAGGTGCATACTGTTTCAAACACACTGTACATATCATTGGGCAAAAAAAACCAAAGATCTGTTGGTTTGTTTGAGACACTTGCAAAGGCATCTTAACCTGCCCAGATGCAGCTAGACAAAAATATCTTGCTCTGACTATATGTAGCCATATCACTAAACATATCTACACGAACATTCGGCTATGTCCACAGGTAAAGACTGAAAGTTTCCGGCCGCACTACAATGCGGAACAAGTGCATCATCTGACCTATTCTGAATATACTTTTATAAATATGTACAAATCAATTACAGGCACTTGAAATGTCTTTGGTTGGAATAAACCAACATTGCGAGATAATGTATTCACAGAGTGTTAAGACCCATTCTGGGATCAGCAGGCAATGATTATGGTTCTCAGTCATTCTCAGTCAAAGGAGAGGATGGATTACGCTTCTGACAAAGCAACCTAAACAAAAGAAAAAGAAAACATTTAATTGAAGTCAAATTCTTAATCCCGTAACAGTGATATTACTTATCTGCATGCAGCTGGCATATCTGTCCTTGTGTTTTTCAGAGAACCTTGAAAAGTCTGACTTGGAAAGGAATCCAAGTCAGTCTGAAGGTGTTTTGTATTCAGCATAATCAATTTATAAAAAAATACAAAAAAAACCAACTCCAAAAAATCAAAACAGCTTATAATACAAAATATCATTAAGACCAAAAGGTGCCAACATTAGCTTCCTACTTCACAATTAAATAGTGAATTAAAAGTGCAGGTCTCCAATGCCATGCTGAATAATGACTGTTTCAATAGCTCTGTCATTGTTTTCATTTGGTTCTGATTAACACCCATGACAATGACATATCACCTCTTATTGAAAGTTTCCAGTCCATTGTGATAAAAGATAAATAAACCTCCTCAACCCTAGCTATTCAACGCTTCATACAAAACGGTGCGAGTAACATCAGCGTTACAGCCCTTACTGAACCGCAATAATCCGTTTCTACAGGAGAGGAATCGAACTCCGAGGATCTACAAAGCACACAGACGTGGTTTGTAGCACCCGTCCGTACTGTCCACAATGAAACACCCACGTCTCTTTGAAAGGGAATTAAATCTACATCTCCAGAGATAAGAAAAACCAGTGGTACTATGTAAAAAAGGAGGTTTTCTCTGCTTTCTTATCAGAGTCAATATTTTGTTAGTACACAGACTCACCTTTTCAGAGCAGAATTCTGTATTGCTTTGCCTCAGTTTGCTTGGTCTGCCTTTAATAACTGCGTAGCAGAACATTGTAATCACCATCACAAACAGAAAGTAACTGGTATGCATGAGATGCAGGTTTATTAGGGAGCGATCATCCTGCACAGAGAATTAAAACCATTTACTGACAATGTCCCAATAGCTGGCATTTTATATTAAAGCGATAATTATCAGATCAGCACAGAAATTACTCCATGAATCAACTTTCTCCCCTTTACTCAGCTGGCACAGTAATGAAAGTGATCCTTAATTGTGGCACAAAATGTTCCTCGTGTTAAAAATCTGTACTAGAGATCTCATCCCATATACTGGCAGTGTCTTTTGTCAAAAGATTGCAAAATAAAAATGTTAGTTACCAAAAGCTGTGAGGCACACGGAGATTACACGAAGACCATCACGCCCACCGGCAGGAAGGCATACCCAACTCTGTCCCAAACCTTGCTCTACATAATAAACCAGCACTGGATATGGCTGGTTTAGGACATGAACAGAACCATATTTAATTAAATAAGAGCTAAAGATTTATTCAACATAACATATGAAACCACCAGGGCACTTACATCTGGAACTATAACGGTTAGTTTGGGGTTTAAAGCATGATACACTTTTCCGATGGCTCCTTTGTAACACCAGAAAGGATTATAATCCTGTGCATATTTTGTATTAGAGTCCCTTGCTGTGGTAAAGATCTTGTACCAGAGCGTGGCGTTGCTGTATGTCTCAGGAACACAATGTGGTGGCTGACTGCAGAAAAACAGAAATAATTAGCACCCAGTTGCCATTTTCCACATTCAGCAAGGCTACCTCGCAGAACCAAGGCAAGCCCAGCCTTCTCAACAGCAGCAGAAAACACAGTTTCATTTTGGACATTCCAGAAACCACAACAAAAAGCAAAGCTTAACCAAAAAAGTGTCTCAAACCCATATGATTCCTATACTAAGATTAGAGTTTCACTGCATGTCGTTCCAGTAAGTCAACATCCCATAGCTCAATTAGGAAAACACTGGCTTTTGGAAGACTTTACAGACTCATGTGAGTCTATCTGCTGGTTCTCCAGGGTGTACTCAGTAGTGTCAGAGAGTTTAGAGAAGACAAAGGCAAACTATTTGGATTCAAGATCCAAAGCTGCTGGGGTATGGCAGCACAGCAGCACTCAGCTTACGCCGATCTCTCAGCGGGGAAGAGGACAAGAACCTTAGTGTCGAGCCTTGGCTCTCACACAAGGGAGTGAAACTAAATTACAGGATATCTTTCTTAAATCTTCCCAAATTATTTTCTTCCTAGTGAAGTTTAAAGCACAGGTAGCATGCTGAAAGGGGCTATAGTGCAAAACATCCACAGAAAAATCTGGAGTTGCTAAAAATCTGGTGTTGCTAAAAGACAGCAAAAGTTTCAAGACAGGGTGTTGACTGTGGGGGAAGGAAGACAAGGTACAGAATGTCCACAGTCGACATTCATCAGCAAGTAACAACCTCAGAGAAGCAGCTGAGGAATTAATCAGCCAGTAAGCAGCCTACAAAGGAGTGTTTAAAAAGCACTTACACTGTGACAGGAAAGACATTGCTGGCTGCTGTCACGGTCATGCAGGTCGTGAACACAACCTGCTCGCAGTGGCCGTGGAGAATGCAGTCGTCTGAATTCCAGGCAGCCGGCAGGGTGAAGGTAATATTGATCTCCTCGTGGGATTCTCTGCCTTTGAGAAAGAGAAGGAAAGCTGGTTTTTGTTCACAAAAGTATCTGAGCAACTATCACTAGGATAAGGACAGGACCCAAACGACTAAGACAGCAACCGGAACCCTGGATCTGTACCTCTGAAATCATCCGGGATCTTGGCTATCAACAAAGAGAGCAAAAAGAAAGTTAAAAACCAAAACCAACTCCAAAAAAGCCAGCTGCTGGTCCTTCTCGTCTCTCCTGCCCCCAGAAGAGGGGGGTCATTAGGTTCCTTTCAGAAATGAAACACTCTTTATAAGGGAATTCGTGCACGTTCAGAGAATTTTATTAGGATGTAACATCACAGATCTTTAGCCTCTCTCCTCCCAAAGACTTTGTTCCACATTTGCTTTTTCTGACACTTACTTTTCAAATTGGAGATATCTGTGTAAACAAAAAGGCGCCAGCAGCTGTTGAACTGCAGATTAAGCAGCGTATGTTAACGCCATGTGGATATATTCACACCGAAAATGGACCCAGGCTACTGGAAATGGAACTTGGATCTGATAGCTCTCAGAGCAGCAGCATAACAACAACATCAAATACCGTAATACAGATTTATGGCTATGGCAAATGTCTCTTCATGGCTCTCTGAGGTTCAAGACACCCTCAGGCATTATTATAAAACACAACCCTGGCTAAAAGCTAAAATTCAATGAGTTTCTATTACCAATTTTTACTAATTTTGTACAATGTCCTGTCAAAACTTACTGTCAGGGCAACATAGCAGCTCAGTCTCTTCACACCACAGAAACTGTAAGCATCTTATTGTTGCTGTTTGTGATATTAAAGCTTATTCATGTATGCATTTTAGATAAACCTTTTGTTTTTAAAACAACATACTACTTGATCTCTAATGCATATACATCACTGCCTACAAAACGTGAGCTAAGGGCTTCAAGACGTATCAGGATAGAACTGAAGATAGTCACTGTAGAAACTTCTGCTGCTTGGAATTTTGTTGGCTTAAAAATTACCTTCCATTGTCATTAGGTTAATAATTTAAAACCGCAAAGCCTCATCTTGGCAAACCTGCAGATTGTTTTCCATGCTGAACGGAGGGAAATGGTTTTCTAGCAAACACGTGAAGGGCTCTGTACGGGAATATACTCACCACAAATCTGGAAACACACATGTTCTAACCAAAAGATTTATCTCACCAGTACTAAGCTGGAGAGTTTTTATTTGATTATATAGCTATCATTCATATTTACAAAGGTCAAGTCTTCCATACCTGAGAGTCCAATTTGGTGTCCAAAAATTGTGGAACTTAGATGTGTGACATTGCGAGAATATCCGCCAAATGGTCGGAGTGGGTCCAGCGTCAACGTGATTGTAACAGAGATGTTTATGGGACCAGAGTCCTCAAGAGTTTGTGGAGACTGTGTAGAAGATCTCGCCTGTCCGCTAGTCACGGTACTTTCTGGAGTTGTGGTATCATTGATGAGATGCTTTAAGGTTTCATTCTCAGATATACAGAAGTCCAAATCATTAAACCTCAGGAGGAAAGTATTCCAGTCCTTAAAAGAAATGGGAAGATTTCAACCAGATTAGCAAATTAACTGCTGGCTGCCACTTCTCCAGAGCAGCACAGACCTCGACGGGAACCATCCCACCTCCAGTTCCAAGCCATTAACAAAAATGACATGGCTCACAAAGCAAGCCCAAATACCACCACGGCTAGCTCAACAACGGGGCAAGCTGTTTGCAAAAGTTAGATGTGTTCAACCGCAGTCACTGCCCGACCGCAGTGGCAGAACATCCTCCCACGGGAGGAATATAGTGACTTGGTCTGTTCTCACCACACTCGGGGGCTGAGCGCTTTCCAGCAAGGTTTCCCTCAGTACAGAACAGTACTGCTGGGTAAGATCAGAAGCTTCACAACCAAGCTAGCTGGCACAATAGAGCAAGAAAAAGAAAGGCTCCTAGCCATAGTAGGGGAGATCCATGTCAGATGATTTGGCCTCATCCTCAAACTAAAAAAAACCCTACTGAAACATTCACACTGATAGCCTCTGTCCTTATGAAACTAGAGGCAATGATTAAAAAAAAAAAAAAAAAAGGACATAAGGCTCTGTGCACTCGCATGAGAGGGTCCTTGGCGGAAAAAAAAAACAACTCATGAGCTTTAGGCAGGTTTTTCAAATTCATATTCCCACTGTTTAGCTCAGGAAGTTTTTGTACTTACCTCTGTCATTTCTGGTGACTTGATCTCCTTGATTTTGAAGAAATAACCCAGTGTCAGAAAAGCTATTGCCATAGCACTTACACTGATCATAAAGACCACGAGCGGCGGTCGACTGCTGATGTAAACCTTCAGGTTCTCCAACAGGTTTATGTTGACCATTATTCTGATTGTTCACCTGAAAACAAAGAATATCGCAACACGGTGAGCAGGCTGTGTGTGTTACAGCGTGGGGGATGGCAGATCACATCCAACAAACGTTTGACAATAAAAAATGGCATCATATACCAGAACGAGATTCAATTATACGACTCTGCACTGTTCATTGAACACAGACTCAGTATGACTTAAATAAAGCACAAATCAAAACACGCTCGACTTCACCTTCTCAGCACCTGGAACTGCCAGCTAGGAAGGGATTCTAAGAAATGAGGACAAGCTCTAGCACACTCAACTATCGCTGATGAGCAATAAAACCAGCACTTTTCTTTCCCCACACACCTAGGCAGAATATACAGTGCTACACGTTAACTCCAGTAACATCTGAACTCACAAAATTGCCGTGCAGGTGGAGCTGTACCGCAGCCCACAGACCAAACTTTGCACATCCCTGCACATACTTTCAAAACTGAGGCTGAAGCCTTAAAGATCCCCCTTTCCCCCATTCTTAGCCCCTAAAGGACCAGACCTTCAAAATGGGATCCAGGAAGCAGCCGACAGCATTTCAGGCTTCTGCAGTAAGACTCCTGGGGTCAAACCCCCCAACAACGACACCAGGCTGGGAGACTCCTCTTTCTTTGATTCCTGCAGGATCTCGAGAACTTTTGCTGGCATTCATAAACAAAGAGAGGACCCTACACATGCTGACGAAACTTACTGAACCACTAATATTTTGTCCAAAATAGATCACCTTGTCTCTCATTCCCCATCTGAATTTTCTTCTTATTTGCAGAGCAGAAAGACCCGAAGTTTGCTGTATGAGCTTCCCCACCTCCACTCACACCGAAAAGCAAACAGCCCAGCAACAGCAGCTCTGCAAGGGAGGAACTTCAAGCAAACCTTTTATCTTACCTGAAATCCTGCTTGAAAAGGTTTTTAACCCCAACTAAACTAGAAGGGCAAGAACTGTTCTTAGCAATGTGTTGCTTATCCCCAAAATTCATAGGAAAAGGCAAACTTCAAAGAATTCAGCACTGCAATGGTTAATGCCTGAGCGTCACACTGATCTGATAACTTTAATTAAGTCAGGGACTCTGCTCCCAGGGTCTGAGTGATTCTCATTGACTCTTCCTAGAAGCACACGTCATTTACAATCCAGATGTGGCAGGGCTTTAGCAACAGAGAGTCTGAGGATGCGAGAGGGATGGATTCTTAGACAGAGGGCAAGGGACTGAGCGAGCAGCCTTTGATCTGATCGACTGATTTACGAGAAAGCAAGAGGAGGGAGAAAGAGAAGCTTCCAGACAAAGCCTTTTTCAGATCCCACAATGTGCACCGATCCCAACTCTCTCGTGTATACTCCAATTTTACTGTCAGAAATGCTTCTGTTCCTCTTAACAGACGGAATATTGACAAACCCTGCACAATTCAGAGGGAACCCCACTCACTGAGAGGCAATAACACAACACCCAGCTGGGCACCGTCTCCTCCCCACACCCCGCAGTGCAATCTGCTGAAACGGGGCTCGCTCCAGAGCACAGGGGCACGTCCTGGGTTTGCTATTCTGCACCAGCAACCGATTTTCATCCACTCTGCAAAGATCCCGGAAGCCTGTGACTTTTTATCAGCAAGAATGACTGATAAACTGCAAACACCTCTGGACAAAAATACATCGTCCGAGAGCGAAAAGCCCTGTGCGGAGAAGGAGAGAAGGAGAAGGAGAGAAGGAGAAGGAGAGAAGAGAGCAAAGGTGATGAACTGTGCACCTTACCAGAACTGCTACCTTTGTCCAAGATCAGCTGTGCTACGGCCAAACAGGGCAGAGAAGGTGTCAGGAGAAGGCAGGAGGGAGAGCTGGTGTTGGTAAGGATCATGCTGGGTAGGAGCCGTGCTGCCGTACGCTCTGCCTCCTAGCTCCTCACTGCCAGCAACTTTCTAAAGTGAGCCCTAGTTAAAAATCCCAAACACTCCATCGAGAAACATTGGAGACACATGTCGAGATGGAAAAAGATCAAAAAATAAACCAAAAGCAGAGTTGTATTCAGTGTTCCCTCCTGAATTTCCTTTTGGAAATAACACCACGGATGCAGGCTTTATTGCAGCAGTCAATCAAAGCCGAACGTCACCCGGAGCACGTCCAGGACGGTGATCCCTTTTTAAAGGGGTTCCCAACAGCTCCGCGAGCACTCTCGGTTACCACAAGGTCTAAAATCAGACCTAAAACTGGATGCGCTGGAAAGCGTACATATAAAAATATCTGGGCTAATATTTTTATGTAAGAGATCCCCAGCTTTCAAGTGCCGGTTGCTTAATATCCTCCCATAACTCAACGGCTTGGAAAGCAATTAGCAAATGCCATAAGCTGCCGTTTCCGAAGCGTAATGTGCCTTTCGAGCGCTTGTGGGAGCAAAGGGAACAACTGCAGATTTCAATACTAGAGGGACATGGAAATAGCAATAGGACAGGGTAAGCGCAAACCAGAACGAAGAAGGATGTTGCCACACAGCTGCCTGAAGAACTGATGATTTTTTATGAATTAAAGTGCTTAAATAACAGTAATTATCTAAGAACTTGTGAAGCAGATCAGTGCACGTAAATCAAGATGTACATTCCCACTAGATTTAAGGGTTTGGTTAATGATCCACACACGTAATCTCCTCCTTTCCGCTAGGACCCGTCAGAAACACAACCCGTGGTACCCTTCTAGTTGTAACTAACAACTTCCTCGGTGTAAATGAATAACCTCAAGAATATCATTTAAACTTTTATTTCTTTTTCACACAGTTGAAAAGAAAAAAGAAACCGAATGCTATTACTCCTGGCAGGTCAGGACAGCACTATCAGATTTCACTTCTTAGCGAAATAAATAATGTAGAGCGCGGCTCTAATAACGGCAGCCTGCCTCTCGCCGCCCCGGCTAAACCTTTTCATACGTCTGCAATAAAAATCTTCACAGGCAGCCCAACAAGTAGCTCAAGCGCAACGGGAAGAATGAAAACTGCCAGCCTGGAACATTGGCCACTGACTCCAAAGTAATTGCTGGGTATCGAGGTGTGTACGTCAAGAGAAAATGCCCCGTTCAGGCGGAGTTACCACCGATGGTACTCACTGGGAAACACCGGCAAGCGCTAGAGAGATGTTGTGCTCTTAAATCAGGCTCTGCAAACCCCAGAATTCTGTCATAAAAGTAAAAATGGTAAAGGATGGAAATACACAGCAGTTAATGTTAGTCCCAGGCAAACACAGAATTGGGTAACCATCTAAAAGAGCGAGGAAAGAGCCACTTAAATTGAGGGGAGTCTTCCTCCACAAGAGCTCAAGACCGAAGATGGTAACCTCAAAGAAGCAACACTTTTAATTCCTCCTTATTTGTATATGAAAGGGTATAGAAAAGGTACCTGCCGAAATAGACCTATGAGTTTCTCAAGAATAAATTATAAAAAAAGGAAAAATTTTGAAGTCTATTGCAAAGACCAAAAAGCCAACGGAATGAGTCACAGCAGAAGTATTAAAGTCCCATTTCAGGGCTTAATATCAAAGGAACCGAATTCCTAACAACAATTTAAAAAAATGCATGCTGTACTAAAGGAGGTATGAAAACTGCAGTTGCCAAAAAGAAAAAAAAACCAAACAAACAACAAAATATGAATTTTAAAGAGATTAAAGTAAACATCTGACATAATTTTTACATGTTTCTTGCCATAATGTCAACGACTGTCTTTCAACCAGAAGACTGCAAATCATGTAATTTCCTTACAAATATTTCCCCTTCTTGTTGTGCATGTAAGATAGTCTAGAGGACAACGTCCCCGTTTCAGTTTCAGAGTTAATTTTCTTCCTAGTAGCTGGT